AACAGCTTCGGCAGCCACCTTGCTGCTCTCCGACTGCGACTCGATAGCCTTCTTGGACATGCTCCTAATAATAACCATACGGTAGTAGAAGCTTGCTATCATCAGGGGTTGGATGGCGATCAAGATGAGGGCCAGCTTCCATGCAATGGCCAGACCCAACGTGCATGCTATGGTCGCTGCAGAGACTGCCTGAATGATCAAAGACATCCGATCACCCACCAGCATTCGAACCTGCAGCAGGAGAGCGATGCAGATTAGAGAACGAAGTACTTATGGATGCCTAGCTGCTAACGGAGATTGCTACTGACCACATTGGCATCATTTGCGAGTCGAGAGCAGATGGCGCCAGTAGAGTTCTCGTCTCGATCGAACCACCCAACTTCAAATGTAAGAATCTGGGTGAGCATCCTCTGCCTCACCCGCCTTGTCAGGTGCTCCCCCATGGCCCCGAAGTTGTAGTGCTGTAGAATGTTGACCAAGAACGAAAAGATCGACATGGCGAGGAAAACGATGCTGTATTTCCTCGTGTTTGACCTGATCTCGTTATGATCATTCATGAAGTACACCGACAGCATGCTTCCCATCAAGAAGGCGTACAGTGGCTGCACCGCTCCGAAAGCCATCGCTCCCAAGGTTCCCAGCGCCGCCTGCCGCCATTCAGGTAAGTTAAGTAGCAACAGCCTCCGCAGAGATGGAACCGGGGGAGGAGCATCAGCCTCGGACTCCTCTTGCACCTCCTGGTGGCGCGAAGAACTAGTGGAGCTGGATCTGCTGCACGACGATAACCTGTGGCTCTCGCTGCTACCGGGTTGAGGGAAGGCCACCAACGCTGACGAGGATGAGCTAGGCGCATCGCTTCCCGCTGCTCCCGCCGTCTGTTGGAAGCGAACGAGGGATGAGTAGAGTCCATCTTCATCACGGATGAGGTCGTAGTGGGAGCCAAGCTCCGCGACTCGGCCGGCTTGCACGACGGCGATCACGTCGGCGTTCCTGATAGTGGACAGGCGGTGCGCGACGACGATGGTGGTCCGACCGAGGGATGCCAGGTCGAGTGCTTCTTGGACGACTCGCTCCGACTCCGAGTCCAACGCGCTTGTGGCTTCATCAAGCAGAAGAATCCTGGGCGACTTCAGCACAGCCCTTGCGATCGCTATCCGCTGCTTCTGACCTCCTGACATCTGAACCCCACTTTCTCCTACCTGTCATGAACCATAACTTTAGAAACACTACGATGCTATGTCTATACTCATGAATGCACATAGCACGCCAAATATATGCAGGCTGTAAGTAATTAGCTAAGATAAGCCATGTGTCTACCCTAAAACATTGTTATGAGCACAAAGTTGTGGCTTCATTTGGTGGAAACCATCAACAACGAAACACCAAAAACACTCAGAAACTTTGTCGTGTGGTGGCCAGATGAAATATCATCCGCCAAGCTAATCATTGACCATAAATGGGTGGGTTTCCATGAATGCGTGCTTTTAACTGCTGCTCAAATAGGAAGCCAACTCAATGCGCCAACAGCTTACTGGTAGAAGTCGCAGGAGAGGGAAGGAAAGCAAGAAGAATGAATTGTCATGCAATCTACTCTATAGTTGTACTCAAATGCTTGGAAATATGGAGTTAGAAGACAATATAACCTGTGTGTCATAACCCTGAGGCAGCTGAGAGATGAAGTTGTGAGCATTCGAGGCCGTTGCAGCTGCCACCACCTCCTCCATGGTTGCTTCTTCCTTGCCAAAGAGCAAGTTCTCCTTTATGGAGGTCGCAAAGAGAGCTGGCTCTTGGCTTACCAATCCTATCTGTGACCTTAGCCACTTGAGTTTGACGCTCCTAATATCCACTCCGTCCAGAAAAATCTCACCCCCTAGTGGATCGTAGAACCTCTCCATTAACGCAATGACGGTCGACTTCCCTGATCCACTGCCGCCCACCAGAGCCACAGTTTTCCCAGCCGGAACCTTCAGATCAAAGGCTCTCAGGATGATGTTTTCCGGCCTCGAAGGATACGCGAATTCGACCGATCTGAACTCCACATCCCCGGAC